AAGACAAGAGTATGTGAACATGAAAGGAAATATATGATTTGTGTATAAGGAATAAATAAAGGAAGAATGGAATAAAGAAATGAAATGGGATTGAGTTAAAGGACTAGACACGATAAAGGTTATATGGAAGTGTAAGTGATAATTTTGGATATACAAGTGAGAAAAGAGTGATTAGTGAGGTGAAAAGATTTTATAAAGTGTATGTTGAATCATATTTAAAGAAGATTTAAGGTCGTGTTCTTGGTTAAATGATGATGGAAAACGAATTTGGTTATTATTATAAGGTAATTAGAGATGGATTTATGATGTTGATTGATGAAAATGGATTGAAGTTGCTGGTTGTTTAAGTGATAAGTGCATGATATGAATGTATAAAGGAAAAAGGTAATTGAAAAGTTAAAGGATTGAAAAGTATGTTTCCTGATGATGACAAGAAAGAGTAAGTAAATGAAGCAACATGAGAACATTAGAAGATATGTTTTATCAAAATGTTCAGTGAAAATTCGAGGGCGAATTTTCTTAAAAATGAGGGGAGATTTGTAACATCTGCAATACCGGGTTAGTGACTAAATTGAAAAGTTTCAGAATTTGGTGACTAAAGTAGAAGAATGAAATAATTTAATGATTATTGGAAATATATGATGAAGGTTATTTAGTAATTATTAAAGGAAATTAAGGGTAAAATGGTCATTTGACCAGAAAGATTTTTATCTTTCTTTTAAGGTGATAAAAACGTGGAAAGGGTGAGAAGAAAAGAAAGATCTGGAGCTTGGGTCATCTCCTTCCTCCTCTCTTCCCGTAAGTTCCATGGCAAAGGTAAGTTTAATTTCAGTTGGTTAATTCTTGAGTTTTAAGCTTAGTTTTAATTCTTGAGGTGCTAAGAAAGATTATTTAGAGATTAAAGTAGGTTGAAACTTCAAAATGGATGAATTATGAATGATTAAATATGAAGAGTTTTTAAGTGAAATAGAAGGAGTTAATAGATTTTGAAGTTGAATTTGACTTGTCATATGGAAGAGTAAGAAGTTATAAGTGTTAGAATTAATTTTGGATAACATGGAAAAATTGGTATGATTTTTGAATGCTATGTGGAAGAGTGAATTTTTAAGTTGAAGAGATATTGAATGAAAATTTATTGGTTTAAGTATGTGTATGAAAGTTAGGAATATTAAAGGGAGTGAAGTATGAAGTGTTGAGCTGAAAATGAAGTGATTTTCGAGCTCAAAATGTGATTTCTGGGCAAGGGGAATCGGTACCCATTCAAGGAGAACCGATACCCCCTCAAACGAACCAGAATTTATAGAATGTCAAGGGGGAATCGATACCCCCATAGGAGGGAACCAATTCCCCCTAAAGGAAAATTGTAAATATTGGTTTAATAAGTTTGTTTAAGTTGCTAGTATCAAATTACAAGGTGTAGGTATCTAATAATTGTCTTAAAATGTATAATTATGTAGATTCAGAGCCTAAACGAGTTCCGAAATCATTGACAAGTAAGATCGATAAAAAGGGAAGATAAGAGATTGAAATGGACTAGTGAGGCCAGGTGAGTGTATATTAGTATTATATGATGTTAAATGGAAATAAGACTTGCGACAAGTCTATTTCCATAGTAAAATGCATGAATTCATAAATAGAAGTATATATGTGTATGATTTATATGTGTTGACATGTTATTGTATATATGTATTATATGGTTGATGTGAATATGTGATATGTTATGATGATATAAACCATATGATATGATAATAAATTATATGAATATAAAAGACAAGTTATGTGATAAGATCTTTGATATATACATATATATAAATGAAATATTACTACGTGAATACATGTTATGAGATAATTTAAGTAATAATATGAGAATATGGTAAAAGTGAGTTTATGAGAAAGGATATGAACTAAGTAAGCAAAGGTTACATAAATAATATATTAACTAGAAGATTTGAACTTCAGTGATACTATGAGCATATAAGATAAGATAGAGGAGAAAGATTCATATGCTTAAATAAAATTACAATACATTATTTGTATAATAGAAGCTATGGAGTGATATGAAATGATTATAGAAGTTGTACGGAATTGAATTAAGTAAATAGATTAAATTGTATATAAAAGAAATAATATAAGTAATATATTCAGGTTTATAAGTATAATGTAGGTTAGGTAATGTAAGTGCATACTAAGAAATACAGAATAAGGTAGATGATATGATGTAAATTATATTATGAATTAGTGATGTAGGAATGAGATATAAATATGCAATAAAACTTATGTGTTATATGATAAATATGAACATATGAGAATAAGAGATTAGATAAGTGACTTGGTGATAGAAGCTATATGACCATGGATTAGGTAAATATGAATAATTTAAGTGATATGTAACTATGAGTATTTGAGTATGTATCCATGTGAGTTGTTTCATGAGGTTATATGAAATATTATACTATATGACTATGTGAGTATATGAAAAAGAATATAGGTACATGCAAGTTATATCGAAAGGAGTTGTGTAACCATGCCTGATATGTATTACATGTATGGGAATATAAGAGAATAAAACATAAACTATATGAAAAGATATGATTCATGTGATGTAAACCATGTGAACATATGAGAAAGTGTATAAGTTATATGTATTACATGATATATGTGATTTTACAAGAAATGACATGAGCTATGTGATTACATGATTATATGAGATCAGACATGTGATAAAAGATAATTAATATGCATATGTGAATATGAAATGATATAAATGACAATGCCCATGTTATGTGTCATGAGAGCTAGGGGTATGGTTGGCATGCCAAGAGTCGAGGGTCTACGCTGTCCTTCGGGACATATATGTATTCTTTGGAACATGTGTGAAGTCTAGTGAGACACATACTTGATCCCTAGTATATGTATATGATTCTTAAGGAATGGTATGTGGTCCTTATGGACATTATTATATGGCACTACGGTGCAATTCTATGCGGCACTACGGTGCAATTCTACGTGGCACTTCGGTACATTTATATGAGCTGTGGTGACATCATTAGTGCACAACCTCCATAGACTCACATATCTATAGTTCTCACATATGTACATGGGCTAATCAAGAGATATAAACAAATATATGTTAGTGATATGATAAATGTTATAGAAATGATATAATGTTGTGTGTGTATAGTGTTTGATTGAAAAGGTTAAGCATACAAGTATGTTATTACATGATAAACTGTTAATGATGAGTTATGTGTATGTATGTATGTATGTATGTATTTACTGTAATTAATCTGATATGATTTTATATGATATGAGGAAATCATGTAATTTGGTATAGCATGATCGAACAGAACATGCATGTATTGATATATGTTATAAAGTGCATTTTAAGTTTTTATGCCTCACTAAGTCATAGACTTAGCGTGTGATTGTTTCACACGTAGGTTACAGAAGCTAGAAGAGAAACGACGAAGAGTAAGACAGGTCAGCACCTCCCTTACAAAAATTTCAGATCAGAAAATAAAGAATTTAAATGTTTTTGGTTATTTTAAGTATAGTTGGCATGTACTAATTGGTTGAATTAATTATGCTCTGATTGATTTTGGGTATTGTGGTCAATTTATGTAACTAAACCGCTTTTACTTTAATGAAAGATTTAAATTTTCTTTGAATTTTATCAAGAGTCAAAGTTTGAAAAGTCAATGTGACACCTCAGACTCGTATCCGGGTCGGGTACGGGTTGGGGTGTTACATTACTACAATTTTAAACGTTTTTCAAATCAAAAAGAGCTCGTTGGTCAGGATATTGTTTAATATACAATTGGGAGGAATGATCGACTTGTGGCAATTCGACTCCCTGTGAACACTCTTAGCGGCGACCCGCTAAGGAAAGACGAGATCATATACAATTCTTGATGAGAAAATTTTTGAGACAGGGTTTTCCAATTTTTAATCTAATTGTTTTAATGGCAATAGTTGTGGTTAATCACTTAAGAATCATCTTTCGAAGATAGTCTTGGGAAAATAGGTTACATGAGAGAAAGGCAAGTTACAATGGGTTGGGCCTTGTAGACTATAACCAACATAAATCCCGAAGCAAAAATCCATTTCGATGATCAATGGAATTGAAACAAAGCTAGCTCGAGGCGATTTTCTCATTATTATTTTTAATCTTTATTTACGCTTCCATATATTTTACCTTGATCGTTATTTTTTTACTTCATTTTCTTCACATAATTCACGTCAACCTCCCTATTTTTATTTATTTTTTTTGTTACAATTTCCTGGATTGAAATCAATAAGGAATCACATCAGAAATTAACAAGTCCCTGTGAATCGATCTTCTTTACTATACTACATTTTATTTTATTTGAAGAGGATATTATTTTATTTTTTTTACAAGTAAAATGATGCTTATCAAAATTGGTGTCGTTGTCGATGACTTTTCGACAAATTATTGATCTAATTTTGTTTTGATTTTATGATCAAGAGAAATCCGGGAAATTTAGTAGAATTCAACCCGAAAATACGATCTGGAGTCCACTTTCGCAATGCCATCTCATATTCAATCCCACAAAGAACCATCACCTGACGCCACACAAACTACACCAATCGCAAATCTCACGCCTGAACCGGAACCAATGGTGAATCGAACGATAAGAGAACTAGCTGCCGCACCTGCCATGAAACAACCACTTTGCATTGCTTTTCCTCATGGCGAGACCCCTTTCCAACTTAAGACGAGATTGATCCATCTCCTTCCTACCTATCATGGTCTTCCCAATGAGAGCCCACATAAACACCTCACCGAATTTCATATAGTATGCAGTAGTATAAAGCCTCAGGGAGTTTCCGAGTATCAAATCAAACTGAGGGTATTTCCTTTTTCCTTAGCCGTTATGGCTATGGAGTGGTTATTTTATCTTCCGCCTATTTCAATTACTACATGGACTAAACTATCTCATGTTTTTCTTGATAGGTTTTTCCCTGAGGCAAAAGCGAGCGAACTTAGGCGAAACATTTTGGGAATCCAATAGAGGAATGACAAAACTCTCTATGAATATTGGGAGAGGTTTAAAAAATTATGAGCCAGTTGTCCTCAACATGGCCTGTCCAAACAAACTCTCCTTCAATATTTTTATGAAAAAATGCTCCCAATGGATAAAAAGACGGTGGATACTGGTGACACTCTCGTCAACATGGCCCGAATGCAGCAAAATCATTAATCTCTACCATGGTCACAAACTCACAACAATTCGGCTCTTCAAGTGAACTTAGCCGACTGGTACACGAAGTAAGTACAGTTTCAATAGAGAATAAAATAGAAAAATTGAATGACATCATCAATTCACTTGTTACAGGTAAAATTGAAGCTGCGAAGGTTTGTGAGTTTGCACTATGTCGGATCATTCGACGGATTCACGCCCATTGTTACACGATGAATCTGGGGCACAACTCAATGCCGTAAGCAACTTTCCGGGACCTCCTCAAAGATCTTATAACCCTTACGGTAATACTTTCAATCTCGATTGGAGAGATCATCCAAATCTGAGTTACAGAAACAACCAAAGAAATCTGATTTACCAACTGAGTCCACCTCTTTTTCCTACTTAACTACAAAAAAAACTTCTCTTGAAACAATTGTCGAGAAATTGGCCATAGCAGAAGAAAAATTCCTAATACAAACACAAACTCATATGGCTCAAACATAAACCCGCTTTTAAGAGATTGAAAAACAAATAAGCCAATTGGCTTAAGCATTAAGTCACCTAGAATCTCGAGGTCGATTACCCTCACAAACTGAAACAAATCCGAGGGAAAATTTAAGTTTGATTACTCTTCGAAGTAGTACTGTCATCTCGCCTGTACCAACGAAAGAGTCCAATAAAGAGCCCGACAAGAAATGAGAAGGTGCATCATCGAAGAAACAAGAAGAATAATCTTTGTCTCCACCCATTTCAGGTAAATATGTTCCTAATTCTTCTTCTTCTTCTTCTTTTTCTTCTACTTACGAAACTCCGCCTCCCTTTCCTGGTAGACTTATACGATATGACATGAAAGAATAAGAGAAAGAAATTCTCGACATTTTCAGGAAGGTGGAGATTAATATCCCCTTCTTGAAATGATTCAGAAGGTGCCCAAATATGCCAAATACCTTAAAGATCTATGCACCAACAAAATACGATTGATTGGAAATCAGAAAATGAGGATTGCGCCAATGAAGTCAGGGAGTTTGAATAATTTTTTTCTAACAATTCTGATTTTCATTTAATGCCTTCTGAATCTAAAATTATTCCTTACATTTTGCAGATACAGAAAGAGGAATCGAAACATTTGAAGCATTCATCTTTTGACGAAAATGATGTATTTTCGGCCACTATTTTCGACAAGCTCTAAATCTAAAAAAGAACCGAAGAAATACTTATGAGATTGTTCAAAGTTACCAGGAAAAATTAAAGGAGTTTATCGGTCGTAGAAGTTCCCGAAGGAAAATTCTTAGTTGTAGAAAATGCATGAAATGGAGGAGACGTCTCGAACAAATTATGTAGTCTGAATCAGGTCGTCGAGCTCATTGACGTTAAACAAAGCGCTTCATGTGAGGCAACCTATTTTCTTTTTTGTTTCTTTAATTTATTTCGATTTATTTCGTTTTTGATCTTTTTCCTTTATTTTTTTCAGAATTTTATTTATTTTTCATGAATTTTTCATATATTCCAGTATTTTGGATCGAACTTGAATGGAGTCGGAAGCAATTTTTTTATCAAACAATGTAATTTTCGGACCCCGAAAGCAGTGAGAGTCAGCTAGCTTTGTTAACTCATGGCTCATTAATAAAGTTCTCAGAAGTATTCTCATCATTCTCTCTCTTTTCTTCTCTCTGGATGGTTGTTTCATTAATAAACTTCAATCGGAGTAACAAAGAAATGAACAACTAAAATGATATAAACAAAACCCTAAAAATACTTGACAGGGATGCTTTGCAACCACCCATCATTGTCGATGAACGACATGCTGGTTAACTTGGCCACAGTTCGAGCGTTAAGATTCTTCAACCACTTCACCCTCTTCGATTTGTATGCTCCCGGTCCATAGTTCTTATACTCGACAAAGGTTAGCTGTTTCCTACACCATTGACAAGCAATATGTTAAGTTCAAGAACTGTGACACTCGAATCTTCCGGATTTGAGTTTAAAGAGTTGTGATTGTGATCACTTACTCTTCCCCAACACTATTCCAAGCATTCCAACCCCTAGGGTTGACAACGTTTGAAAATCTGCAATTATAAAACAAAACCCTAGAGAAATCTCTCCATGGCCTGCCCAAAAACGTCGACCCCTTCCCGTAGATGTGGCAGCTCTTGAAAACGAACCCGCTCGAAACGCGCGGGTTGTTCCTTCCCTGCGCTGTGATGAAACCGGCGAGCCCTCGCGGCAATGCCTCCCCGAGATAACGTATGGAACAATCCTGCAAACCGATAATCAACAACATTTGCATGTAGCTACCCGTAATCTATTTAAAAATTTATGTCGGCACGACGACTACTAAAAGTTACCTCGTAAATCGATTGGCCGTTGCCGAAAATGAAATCCACAGCCCCTTCAATGTGGCATCTCTTGAAGTAATGGCGACCGGTAGCGTCCCACAATGTATCTTGAACACTCGAGAAACCACATCGGAAGAAGAAGCTTTTGTCGCCGTTGATCAGCGCAGCTACAGCCGGAACCCTAGCGTTTTTGCTATTTGGACCGTTGTATGAATTCTATTCATTTCCATCCATTCATCCATACATACATAAAAACATACATACATACATACATAAAAATGATAAAATTATTTAAAATATACAAAACTAAATCTTTTTAAAGGAAAAAAAAAGTAATTAATTTGCTTACCACGAAAGCGATGGATTTGACAATAATATTATCAGCTAAAGAACTGAAAGTTGGGGCTTGTAGATATGGCTCATTCCAGACCACCTTGGTTTTCTTCTGTCCAGAACCTTTGAGAATTATGAATGGCTTGTCGTATGGGATTACCACCATCTCCCTATACACAAAACATTTCATATACATACATACATACATACATACATACATACATACATACATGCATACATGCTTGCATAATCGATATAAACTATATATATACCTGTATGTTCCTGGTTTAACATTGATGCAATGCCAATTTCTATTATTTGATGGAACTGAGTTGATAGCTGATTGAATAGTGGAAAAATGCCCACGGCCAGATTTATCGACCGTCACCGTTTTGCATGCCGCCGATATTTGTTCGAAACACAGTAAAAATATAATGCACAGAGTGCAAAAGCAGTGAATCAGTGCCATCTTCGAGGTTTAGTTGACGATGTTGGGTAATTTATAGTGAAAATCAGGAAAAAGTTTTTGAAGGAGAAAACTATTGATTCGTGGGAGGGAAAATTAAAAGTCAAATATATGTTTATGGAAATATATCAGTAATTACTTTTTGCATATAATCAACTTTCTCTTTCGGTCCTCTCTTTTGATTCTTTTGCTTTTGTAGGCTTTTCTATAAGGTATTGTACATAGGAGGTTTTAAGATAATTTTGATCGCTAAACTTTCGAATGTTACAAAATGATTTATTTATCGAAATTTTACGAAATAATAATCATGATCATGATGTTACAAGATACTCGTGAATTTATTGGAATGTTACAAATATTCATTAAGTTCATCTGACTTTATTATTATTATAACAACATGCGATCATTTTGTAATAGTTTAATAAATATAGTGATCATTTTCTAATAGTTTGATCAATATAATGATCATTCTTAACTTTTGAAAGTTTAGTAGCTAAAAGTATAATATGAATATAGTTTAGTGACACTCTTAGAAAAATTAAAGGGCAAATTATGTGTTTAGTACCTAAACTATTAGTTTTGATCTGTTTTAGTACCTAAACTTTCATTTTTTTCAAAATCATATTTAAAGTTTAGTTTTTAAAATTTGATAGTTTAGGTATAGTTTAGGGATAAAATGAAACGAAATCTAAATGTTAGGTATAGTTTTGAAAAATTGAAAGTTTAGGTATTAAAATGGACCAAAACTGATAGTTGAAGTACTAAATACGAAATTTACCCAAAAATTGAAAAATTGAAAGTTTAAGTACTAAAATGGACCAAAACTGATAGTTGAAGTACTAAACACGTGATTTACCCAAAAATAAAAGTAGATAAACCATAAATTTTGGATTTAAAAGCCTTGTTGCAGTAAGAAAATGTTACCATGAACAGGGAAAATGGTAATTAAGGACACTGTTATAAGACGTGGAGCTTGATTAGGGAAAATTAAATAAGATATGTTATATTAATTTTAATGAATCATTTTTATGCATAAATTTCAGCATTTTCAAACAACAATATCTTAATTTGATTCCCTAAACTTTAGGACCTTACTTGTTTAGCATTTTAGTATGCTGTTACAGACAAGAAATTTAATTACATTTATTTCTCATGAATAAAACGAAGAATATAATAGTATTATTTATTTGAGAAATTGTACGTAAAAGAAATAACTCGAACACTCGACGTTATTATTTGACTCACGATTTATTCGGGCGTTCCAGAAAAAATATTAGACACTCGAAATTATCTGACCGACAATCATTTGTGACGTATTATTTGGATATCTCACATTATCTACGAACGTGACGATTCTATTTAATCTATTATTTTTCTATCCGTTGATATCTATAAGATGAGATATATTTGTACGTGTTTGTGTCTGATATGCATACTTACGTTCATGACTTGCATGAAATCTAATAGAGTGAATGCATATTTTAAAGATCAATTTATTGAATTAATGTTATTAATTTGATGACCTAATTATAATATTTTGAAGTTTAAAGATCAATTTAAAATAAAAATCATAATTTAAAAATATCTTGTGTAATTTACTCAATTTAAATTTTAAGTACTCGCAGTTAAAGGCCATTAATATATATTACAAAATAAGTTAAATATATTGTCATCTCTATATTTTAGTACTATTATAGTTATATTTAATTACCATTTTAAAAATGTGTTTTAAAGTATTTTCAACTAAATTGTTGTTACGTTAATTTAAAACATAAATTTAATCAAAGATTTTATAATAAAATATATTTTATGATACTCATAATTTATATGAAAATATATTTTAAATAAAATATATATTTACAAAAGATTAATCAATAGATAGTTATAAATAAAATATAAAATTGAGTTCAAAGTATCTCCACTTAAAATAAATTTTTGTAATATTTGATCTAGATTAATTAATCAGTAAAAATTGAATACTAATAACTAAATAAAATAAATAAATAGGATATCACTTTTTATTTTGATTATTAGTAATAAATTGGGTCTCAACTAGTGATAAATAAAGTAACTTCTGTTTAAATGAGAAATTGAAAACAAAAAAGAAATTAAAATAAAATCACAATCATTACTTTACTTAAATATATAAAATTAATTTTACATAGTATATAATTAATTTCAACCATTAATATGATGGATAAAGTATACAAATAGTTCCCCACCGTACAAGTATGAGTCCCCCTCCACCTCCATACAAGTACAAATCACCACCACCACCTCCTTCTAAGTATGAGTCACCACCTCCACCTCTATACAAGTACAAATCACCACCACCTCCTTACAAGTATGAGTCACCACTTCCACCTCCATACAAGTACAAATCACCACCACCACCTCCTTCAAGTATGAGTCACCACCTCCACCTCCATACAAGTACAAGTCACCACCTCCACCTCTATACAAGTATGAGTTACCACTTCCACCTCCATACAAGTACAAGTTACCCCACCACCACCGTACAAGTATGAGTCACCACCTCCACCTCCATACAAGTACAAGTCACACCCACTACCATCGTACAAGTATAAGTCACCACCTTCACCTCCATACAAGTACAAATCACCACCACCACCTCCTTACAAGCATGAGTCACCACCTCCACCTCCATACAAGTACAAATCACCACCACCACCTCCATACAAGTACTAGTCACCCTTACCACCACCGTACAAGTATGAGTCACCACCTCCATCTCCGTACAAATATGAGTCACCACCTCTACCTCCATACAAGTACAAGTCACCCACTACCATCGTACAAGTATGAGTCCCCACCTCCACTTCCATACAAGTCACCACCTCCATATATGTCCAAGTATGAGTCATCACCTCCACCTTCATACAAGTACAAGTCACCCGCACCTCCACCGTACAAGTATGAGTCACCACCTTCACCTCCATACAAGTACAAATCACCACCACCACCTCCGTACAAGTATGAGTCCCCACCTCCACCTCCATACAAGTACAAGTCACCACCACCACCTCCGTACAAGTATGAGTCTCCACCTCCACCTTCATACAAGTACAAGTCACCACCACCACCTCCGTACAAGTATAAGTCCCCACCTACACCTCCATACAAGTACAAATCACCACCACCACCTCATTACAAGTATGAGTCACCACCTTCACCCCATACAAGTACAAGTCACCATCACCTCCTTCATATGCTTACAAATAGCCTCCACCACCTACATATTACAAGTAAACTCCACAAAATCCTCTTTTCATTTAAAGATCTCATCTTTATCAGTCTTATCTCCTTTATTTCCACCTCGTTACATTTGTCAGCTTTTGTATCCATTATATTCAATTCCACCTTAAACCTCCAAACCTTCTTCCCCAGGTCTCCATCTCCTCTTTCTCTATACATCCCTTAGCACTATAATCCACTCATATCTATCAATGTTTGTGCTAAGTTGAAAGAATCCTACTTAATTAATAAAACAAAAGCATTTCTCTTTGCATGCCTTGTGGTTTCAATTATCATTCCATTTAATCATAGATTGATTTGTGTGCTCAATGTTAATGTGGTGAGTGAAAGGTAGCGTAGCAAGTCATCATTCAGATTTCGTGCAAGCTTTGTGGTTATTCCTTCTAACCTCATCCCTTTTTACTTGTAATGGATTTGCTATGTTTTCAAGAATATTTAATTTGTAATTGATTGTGATGTTCAATAAATTAAAATTAATTTAAGATTATATGTTACAATATACAAATATGCAAACTAATATAGTTTGAATCCTCTTGATTATGATATCAACTCTCCTTTTTGTTTTCTTAAAAGAATCATTTATGTTAAAAAATATAGCCTATTTGGTGTTAAAAAATTGTACATTAATTTGTTATTCAAGTTATTCGATTCAAATCAAACTCAAAAAATAAAATAAATAAATAAATAAATTTAAAAACCCACAAAACTAATCAATTTTTTTTTTAAAAAATATCATTTTTAAATTAAATAAAAAAATTCCAACTAATTACCAACGTGAAAAGAGTAAATGCAAAATAGAAAAATGCCAATAATTTAATCAATTGGTAAACTCTGAGTTGTAGTAACCAAAATCAAATCCTGAAAACATAAAATACCAAAAAGGGAACTAAAAACCAGATTGTGTTTCTCAAGCAAAGAGGTAAAAGACACCCCCACAGTAACATACTAAGGTATATAGCATAACATCTACTTCAAATGATTAGGGCAATAAAATTACTGAATTTGAATCAGTATTTGATAGGAGCAATGACTTCCAACTGAGCACCAAGCTTCTCCTCGGCAACCTTTTCGGCCTTAACCCTAAGTTTAGTAAGTTGCTTCCTTCTCTCGTATGCCACTTGAGCTCTTTCTTTCCTCTTCTTCTCGAGCTCCTGGAGGGAAGAACCGAGCAGCCATAAGTTAAAAGATGCTATAAACTCAGATGCCCAAAACCATAGATTAATTCAAACAAGCAAATAATATTTACAGAAATGACACAGACATGGGAATATGGCCGTGAAAATATAAGATTTATGTCTTAGAAAATGTAAGAAAATGTCCCGTCTGTCACATTCACATCAATTGGACTTCTCATACCGAAGTCCAACAAACAAGGCAACATCGTTATTCAGTGCATAACACAAAGGAAAATTCAGAAGAACAACAATCACAAATAAATATATACACACACAATTACTTGCATGCAGACATTTATATATATAATTCGGAAGAAAGAGTTAAGGAAATAACATTGAAAGACGAGTTGTATTTGAAAATTTGAACAGGGTACTAGATCTTCACCTTGATAGTGTCATAGTGGTTCCATCCGACCTCAGATGAGAGTTTGCCCAACAAGCAGTACTTGTGTCCTTTCTGAAGCCTCAAAACCCTAATTCAAAAACCAAAAGAGCAACAAAAAAACATCAATCATAACTAATCATTGAAGCAATCAAATCCCAAACCAAGCAAAAGAAGCCAAAAACCATATCAAAACTCACTTGAGAGCATCAGGAATAACCATCCTCTTCGTCTTATCGTAAGGAGCTGGAACCCCCTCATACACCTTCAATCGAGCAAGAGCTGCTGCTCCGCGCTTGGTCTTGTGAGGAATCATCCTAAAAACCAAAACACATTTCAATAATCATAAGGAACATTAAAGTACACTATAATTCAAATCAAAACATAGCTCATACTTCACATACAATGAAGCAAAATACCCTTCTTCTCAAGCATAAGATTCATAGATCTTTACAGCTTATATGATTCACTAAATCCAGCAACTATAACCTTAAGCAAACTCATAACATTTTTCGTTTCTTTCCTATATTTTCCCAAGAAACAAACAACAATGAGGAAACAGAAAATTCATCCAAGACATTAAAAGTGAACTAAATCCAATAACCAAAAAACAGAACAATCCAAAAGTTAACACTAAACTCTACACAAGAACCCAAGAACTATGTAATGAAACAAAATACCCTTCTTCTGTAGGGTAGGATTCATAGATTCGTAGATCTTTAGAGCTTATAGTATTCACTAATTTTAGCAATAATAACCTCAAGCAAACTCATAATATCCTTTTTCATTTCTTTCCTATATTTTTCCAAGAACCAAACAACAATGAGGAAACAGAAAATTCATCCAAAACTTCACAATGAACTAATCAAAAAATTTCCTTTCAATCAAAACATTGAGGAGAAACAAAAGATTCAAAGCCAGTCAAAGAAAAGAGAAATTACCCACGAATGGTACGCCAGAGGATCTTAGAAGGAGCACGGAAATGGATGGGACCATGAGAGGGCTTAGTGTTCATGCGCTTCCTCAAGAACCTCATGTACTTCATCTTCTGTCTGACCAGACCACCAGACATGCAAATCTCTTCGCATCGAACGACGACTACTTTCTGGCCGTTCAACAACTCCTTGGCCAAAATGGAAGCCAGCCTTCCCAGCATGTGGTGCCTTGCATCCACCACCACCCTCTTGGCGCAGATCCCTGACCCCGAAACCATCTTCTCCTCTTGTGTTTTGCCTCCTTTGCTTTGATCAGCTTAGGCCGCTTGTAGGTGCTTGCTGCCACTGCGATTGTGACAAGAATATATTGATTCCTTATTAGGGCTTTTAGGGTTCGGCTCGATGAAATTGGGTTTTGAAAAAATATATATTTTCTCACGGCCCAATTACTCTATGGAAGACCTGATTTTTACAAACCAATTTTATGCAAAATTAGCCCAATAATCATGACGCAATAATTATTTAAGTTTTTAAGGTAACTAAAAACTTAATTAGTAATTTACGGAATTTACCACGGTAGCTTAAAACTCGTCACATGGCATAACGAGTTTTAATAAAAAAAATTTATTAAAATTTTTATCTCGACGTGATAGATTTTAATAAAATAATAATATTTTTTTGAAACTCATCATGTCCACGTGATGAGTTTGAATAAAAAATTGAAATTTGTCACCATTACAGGACAAGTTAGTCTTTCACTGTAATAAATGTCGTATATCCCAAAATAAACTTTGATTTATCTTATTGGGCTAAATAATTTATACGCTTGGATTATTGCCCTCAATTTACCACCAATTTCAACTTAGGCATAATGTCAAAAACAGCCTCCAATGTTTACTAAAATGTTCATTTTGACTTCTATTCTTTTTATGAAGTATTTTGACCTCTAACGTTTCACTTTATGACAAAAAATCCCTTCTATAAATAGAAATCATTAGTTAACAAGCAACTAACGCTCCAAAACAAAGACCTTTTTTTAACATAAAATGAAATGTTGAGGACTAAAAGACTTTAAAAAAGAATAAACATCAAAGTAATTATTTAAAAAATATATTATGACATTTTTATCCTAAAATAAAATATTGAGATTAAAATGCTCTATTTTTAATATTATGCCATCAACTTAATAAACATACATATATACATATATTTCTATTTTTTTCTTTATTTTACTTAAATATATAAAGTAAACTATTAAAGGTTCAAATTAATATTTTTAAATGAATTATGTGATTATATTAAATAAAATGAATCAATCAATTTGAATAGATAAAATCAGTTTAATCGAATCGATATAGTTTCATAATCGAACTGTTTGAATTTGGATAATTTAAATTTTCCCCTACTCAAAAACAATTAAACCAATGATTTATTAAATCGATATTATCTTGTATTTACCTCATATTAATAAAAAAAATATTCTTTATGTTTTAACTCAAAATGTCTTAAAATTATTAGAGGGGATAATCAGGTCATTTGGATCGTTTTGGTCGAGTCACTTTGAGTTGGATTATTTTAGATCTAGACTACATTCAATTTAGGCTCGATTCAAGTTAAATTGGATCTGATTCAAATTTAGTTTGGGTCTATGATAAGTTGAGTCGAATCAAATATCGAATAAGATCAATATCAAATCAATCAATTTCGGATCGGATTAATATTGAGATTGATAAGTTTTTTGGTCAAGTCAATATCAAATCACTTAATATTCGAGTTGGATCAAATCGATCAGATCTTTATTTGAGTTAACATTTGAATCATCATGTCAATTCAGGTTGAGTTTAGTATAAGTTCAATCGAGTTAAAAAATAGATAATACAAAGATGATGGTTAACTAGTAGTATAATAATATAAAGTCATTAAACTATTAGAATAATACAAAATAGAATAAAATTTAAATCAAGTCAATACACGATTTAAATCAAATTTTGGCAAATTTTTAATTGAAGTCGTTTTTATTCGAGTTGTTTTAAATTCAAGTTAATTTCGACTTGAATTGCTTTCGGTTATTTTTTGTTAGTGTTAATTTCGATTTGAATTGCTTCCGCTTCCGGTTGTTTTCGATTCATGTAAAATTAAGCATGAACCCATATTAATCCTATTAAAATTCAAGTCAATTTTAATTCAATTTAATTAGTTCCGAAATTCAAATTATTATGTTTAGGTCCATATTGAACCTCAAATAAATCAATTAAAGTGATCAAGTTTGCTAAATCTAGAAATCACATTAAGCTTGATATTAATCTTGGTCAGTCCCCAAAGAAACTATATCCAAATTCGAGTATTAACAACCGTCTTCTACCATGTAAGCAAACATGATCAAAATAGTTTCGACAATCTCGAATCGAGCTCGAACTTCAAAAATAAAACTAAATATGAAGTACTAAAAATGAATGGGGATCAAATCTTAGTTCCTTCTGCATCTCAAGGCCTAAATGCTTGCTGAAATTTAAATTTGAAATGATCATTGTTCGTTCATGTACGTATACAACTATCTTTCCAAAGGTCTAAAAACACAAGATAAAGGGGAACAATCAACAATGGGAACAGAATCCTTCAACATGCAAATTCATGCCTGAAAAGGAAAATCAAGACAACCCTAGCAGAACCGAATAAGATCTCGGGGGAATGCTCGGAAGCTCCCTAAGCGGAGGACGTGAAATGAGAAAATGTTCTAGTTTTTCACTCTATGTTAGAGAGCTATAATGTGAAATACCATTCATGTACAAAAGTATTGTTGGCCCTGTTTCAGTTCCGGGATCCGGTAAAAATCAGGATGTGTACTCGAATGCCTAAGGTGGCTGAGATTCATCATCGCTGGCCATGGCTGATGAAGAACTCTGTTGTCCTGCAGCAGCAGCTGATCCACCTGCTGGGGATGATGTGGATGTGGGTGAATCTGTTAGAGAGAGCACCTCCGGTTCATTGGGGAGTAGGTCTCTTAGAAGAACGAACCCGGATCGTGCCGACTTCACGGGCACGTATCGGCTGTCTCGAAAAAACCTGATGAACTTCTCCTGAGCAAGAACCACTCTTGCTGGGTTGGTCAGAATCTCACATGATGGCTCAGGCTCAGATTTCTTCTCCGGAGGGCTATCAACCTGTCCAATATAGAGAATTATCGACAGAAGGTTGATATACAGATCATTTTCAGTTTATCATCACCTGATCTAATATCAAAATAACGCAAATTTGCATCACATGTAAGCAACAATGCACCTGTAATGAAATTTACGTAAAACCGCAACAGAACCCGATTTAAAGTTGCAGTAAATTCTAATATTATGAAATTATAATTAGATTGCCAATAATTGCCATGATGGCCAGTCCACTAAGCCCCCAAAACACTATTTTTAAAAAAAAACTATATAATATAAACCATAAAAGATGAAAGATTTAAATAGTGTTCAAATGGATCATTTATATACAGGCATATAGACAATTTCAGATAAATCCAAAAATCTTACCTGCATGGCTTCCCCATCCTTCTCACTAGGTAATTTCCCTTTTCTGGTATTTCCAGCAGCAGAGGAGGACTCGGCTCCAGTTGATTTCTCAGCATTTGCCTTTTGTTCTGCCTCTTTCTTAGCCCTAGCTTTAGCCTTTGCCGAAGTTGATAGGACAGCAGTTGGAAGTTTAACAGCAGATGTAGTTGTGGGCACAGTAGTTGGCTTTGGATACTCAAAAAGCGAAGGTTTTGCAAGCGATAAGAACTCAAATTTTGGAACCTTCAGGTCGTAGTTCAGTCCAATCAAAGCTGTGGGTGAAAAAGACAAGCTTACAAAATAAATTAGGGGATACCAATACCAAAACTGGCTAAAAACTGCAAGACCAACAACCGCAGTGACTTTGTCATGCTTTCTCTTGGAAAGCAATCTTATGGTTACGTTCCTCCCACCAGCATCAAGGATCCCAGAGGCCAGGATTGCTCCCATCTTGCTCATTGTGTCTTCATGTTTACCAAGTATTATCTTTTCTAATTGTCGCCTAGTTTAAGGAGACAAAAAGAAGTTAACGCACATATGTGTACGATAATTACACATCCAGAGGGGGAAAAAATAAAAGAAAAAGAACAAGATAAAATAATAGCATACCTGAATGTTCCGACACGAGAATCACTGGCTTCATTGATCTGGACCATGACCATAGCCATTGCAATTAGGGCCCCTTGACGAACAAAGTCAACGACATCTGATGTTAATGGTTCTAGCAATGTTATGGCCTCTCTTAATCCTGTTCCAGCACATGAAATGCCCACTGCAAGTGCCGCACCGTATCTAACATGTGGGTTGTATGACTCCGATAGTAAGGAGACAATTCGAGGAGTCTGCAATATTGAACAGGCAAAACAAGGAGATCTTCAGAAATTCATACAGCCCAATGACAAATCTCAAAATTACATTAGTCGGAAAATATGGGGTATAAGTTGAGACAAATATCGATAACACCCCGCCAACACAGATGAGGAGAAACAGTACCTACCAGCTGTGGCTGTGAGTAAAGGATAAATCCCAGAGCTAAGACAGCAGTTCTCCTAGCATCATCACTCACATCTGATACAGCAAAGTGCAGCAGCTGGCGAATGGCTTTGTTGTTAGCAGTTCCCGCATAGGCCAATGCTAGAGCATACATACCACCATAACGTAGTATAGGATCTTGATCCCGAGTCATCTGCTCGATTAATGTATCTGCTTCTTCTTCCATTCCATAAACTGTAAGAGCTATCCCTAATGCTAAACCCCTGAAACCATATGAGAACAACACAGGTAAAGACCACTTTCACAATAAAACCCAGCTCAATACCAAGATCACAAAAAATCGAACTTTACCTGATAATTTTCTCATGTTGTGTCTCATGCGCATAAGCAAGCATCTCACTTGCTTTCTCACTAGCAGTTCCAACCAAAAGCAAACCCATACTGATGCCAGCAGCTTCACCAGCAACAGCACTGTCAGTATAAAGCACATTTTTGATATCATCATAAATTTCTTCATCAGCAGTTCCAAGAGCAGCCAAACCAAGACCTAAGCATGCACCGTGTTGGATGACCTGCATAAGAAGGATCCTAAATTTTATTTCTCAATTACTTAAGAGTAATGCTAGTTTGTCTGACAGTTGGGAAGTACAATCAAACATTAATTCGATTTTAACATGATAGTTATGTTAAAGTTTATGAATAATTTTTTTTTAAACTTGATAAATAGCAAATCGGTGTATGTTTATTCTCCTTTTGTATATATCGTTAGTTAATCACAACATTTGGTAATACTTTAGTAATTTAATATCACCTTTCCTCCTTAAAAGGAAAAGGTTCATCTTCGTGTCTAATCCGTTAATATTTATTTTTTAAAAATATTTGATTTGAAATATTATAAAAAAAATTAGTCTATGCTTAAAATTTTAGTTTATGTGATCGGGATTGAGCTAAGAAAGAACAAATCGAAGAGTGTGCATTCTTGTGAGTAGGTGGAAGTTGGCACCTAATAATTTCTCTTTTCTTAAAGGCCTATTGGTAATAAAAAGAGAAGTTATCATAGACCAGGAGAATCACATACCTCAACATTAGTCCCACATAGGCTATCGCGAAGGAATTGCTTGATGCCTTCACCGTGGTTGACATGAATGAGACCTAAAGCATATAGAGCCCCACCTTCAGAGTACGGACTCCCACCACCAGCCCCACCTTGGGGCAGGTAAGGAGCCATCAGAGACCTCCCCTGCTGCAGATGTCCTCTGTGAATAACACCAAGCCCAGCTGTTACACTGAATTTGGCCCAATTGGTGGCTCTACTCAGCCAGTCCTGATGATGAGAATCTTAAAATTAAATCCCCCAATATGCACATTAGACGAAAAGAGTGAAAGTAGATACAGCAAGACAAAAGCTTTACCATATTGTCCCTCAGGAATGTATCTACAGTTGTTCCAGCATGCATTATTGCATTAGCATAGATTGTGGCACTGTGACAAACACTATTCCTCATTTCAACCGACTGTTTTATCGTCTTCAAAATCAAGAGGTCGGATCTACAACAACAGAAATGACAACCAGATAATAGCTTATAATGTAAATATAAAAAAGAAACATGATAATTTAGTTCCACTGGAAGATGGCACAAAATAAATTGATGCCACACTTGTTATGACTGAACAAGAATTGTAGAGTCAATTGTATGGATGTTTCTCCAGACAAAATTCCTTTGATTTTTGTCAGTCTCTCGGCATACATAACTTCTTTAGGATCAGCATCATGAACAGCAGAAGATTCATTTGTCATCTGAACATCCTCTGAAGCAGTAGAATTTTCATTTTGAGCAGTAGGAGGATTGCTGGAGCCTGGCTGTACAGATTCTGAAGGCGGATATTTGGGAGCTGAAAGGTTATCTCTTACATTTAAGAGAAAAGCCTGGTGCTCATTCTCCACAAGGTCAAATGCGATTTGGAAAGCCAAAAGAGCATCCTCATTACGTTCAGAACGAAGAAGTTTCTCTAATATATTTGCAACACTTTCAGCTTCAAACAAGAACATAAGACCCTGACAAATGCTCCAATAATCAGGAGAAGGAAGCTTTTCATAAACTTTAACAATAAGCCGAAGCACCTGCATGAACCAAAGATCAAGAACATTAAGGATCTTGCAGAATTTGCAAGATTGCACCAAATTACAAGAAAAGAGCAATTAATAAAGCAATATTAACTGTTCTAATCAAAATTGTCCAAAAAAACTACTTGCTATGCAATTTATATGAACTACTAAAAGAAGTCCTTACCTCTTGCCGATACTCTCGATGATACACAAACGAAATAGAGGCATTGACACAATATGCTAAAGTACGAAGAACATTATCACTCCTTGTTATTGCTTCCTCAAGTTTATCCAGTCTCCGGCACTCAATTGCAATCCCCGTGGCTTGTTGGTATTTTCCATCCACGATACACCTAAATGAAAAAAATAGTAAGATAGCAAGACAAACCCCAAAATATGTCATCAGATAAGAAAGAAAAATATACATACTTATCGAGCATTCTCTCTACAATGGCCTCCAGCCTAGGGTCAACCTTTGCTGATTCATCACTTGATTCCGCTGCCTTTGACCGAAGACTGACATACTCATCTATTGCCTTGGCTAAAATTAAGAACAAAAACCATCAGCTGTTTGGAATATCCAATAAAGACAACAAATAAATATAATCAACACTACACAGATATTTAGACTTGCCTGATAAATCAATCTCAGCAAAATACAACCATAATCGACATACTAACAAATTTCAATTAATCAACTTGTTAATGATCACAAAATATAGAAAATGAATCCAAGTTCTTACAAAGGAGAGTATGAACATAATCAGAATCCTCAGAAACATCAAATAGGGGGCCAGCTCCAAGAGCATAAGACAACGAATCATTGAGTTCACCCAAGTAATAAAAGACCTGAAGGAGATAACAGTACATATTAAATAAGTGAAAGTCAACAAGGCCAGAGTCAAATAAAAAGGCAATACGAGAGAAGGCATCTACTGCACTAGATCTCATTTATAAATTGTAAAAGCACTCCTGTCCTAAAAATGTTCCACAAACCAAACTGCAGCATTGTTTTCACATGATGGAATCCGATAACAATTATAAATATTACATACATATGATACATATATACATATATACACACATAGATATATATATGATCCTAATAAATCATATTAAACCTAGCTTTTTTCCGTTAGTCTTCCAGAAGTGGACGACTTTTGTTGTGTTACCAACATTTGCTAAATCGGTAACTTCAATTAGAAAAACTTATCCAGAAAAAGCAAAAGATGCAGATCAAGGAGTGCAGATTTTTTCCCTTTACTAGAGGAACGCATGGGTTCAGTTTCCATAAACTATGTTAAGAACATGCAGATGCACATGAATGCAGGCTGAGATGGACACAAGAGGAGGACCTTCGAGACAAGTAAAGCAGCAAGTTGTCTCTGATGCTGGCCAAACTCCTCATCTTCATACAAGCTTTCTCTGAAAAAAACGCAAGCATAAAATCAATATCCACATCCAAAACTCATTAAGTACACTACTTTGAATTGGAATCGTTCCCATTTACAGGCCCAGTAACCTATACAAACTATCCATGAAAGAAATAAATCTTGCCATAATAAATTAAAATAAGATGAAAGCAGATAAGTGAAGATAAAACTAATATCCCCATCCCTATTTTACTCCAATGCAAAACAGGCATATACAATTTCCCAAATAAAGTGAACATAAAACTCAATCTAGTGGAATTTAAAATAAATAAATAAAAACATTGTCCCCATTCTTTTATTCACTGAAAGTTCTATTTCCTAAGTGAACAAACTATTAACTACATTTCAAAATAACTGCTTTTAGTTCTTCCCAAATTGAAACTTATGCAGAACATATAGCTTAACTAAAGTAATCAATTATCACATGCCCAGAATGGACACAATACAGCTGTTGAATCCAAATTCTCGTTTTTCTATTGTAACAAAATCAATGCATCAAAAATAACTTTATTCACTTCGTTTCATCCAATTTCCCCATATAAGAATCAGATCAAAACAATCGACTCCTAAAGCTACTAAGTAAAAGAGGAAAAAAAACTCAGGCCTACATGATAGGAACGCTGGTGGAGATCTCGGGCCAAAATTGATCAACGAAGCTAATTAAATTAGAAAGTGCGTGATATTTCAACTGAGGATGGCTCTCGTTAAGCATCGCCAGTAAACCTCCAGCCGAACTGACCATGGTGGCCGCAGCAGCCGCCATTTCTATTCTTTCACGAAATAAAAGAAACCCTTTCTTTCTTTAAGTTTTCGGAGTTCCCTCGTCAAGAAAAGAAGAAAAAGAGATGGTGAAATTAGAGAGTTTAGCCGTTAGAATTTCTTCGGCAAATGAGAACCGGCGACTATTCGGAGACGAACGCCGACGAGGAAGCGACGACAGGGAAAATATGCAGTACAATGAGAAATGTTTGCTTAGATTTGGGGCAACAAAGTCGTTTTCCTCTGAATCTGATCGAAGAGGGAAATAAAGAAGATTCACGTAGCTTGAAGGAAAAGAAATCTGTTTCTGTAACTTCTAAATTCTAAACATTAGCCTCCAAACTTTTCCTTTTTACACGATTAAGTCCTTCTTGAATTTACGCTGTTCCAAATTACTCCAAAAAATAAGTCGGCCTTTGAATGATAGAATTTTGTCCGGTAGAAACAGCAAGAAAAATAAAACAAAATAAGAAAACAAAATAATGAGATTTTTTTAATCTTTTTTCTTTATTTTTTTAGGAATAATTATATATTTATGGTATGTTTATCTTTGTCTTTGTAGTAATTTATCTCTATCTTTTTGGCAGTTTTTAATTTTTTAGTCGTTGTTTTCATTTATCTTTTTTTAAGGTTGAATATGACATCGCAATGACTGTTCGAGATGACACTTATTTGTTATCATGTTGATTTTCCTTGTTTTGGACCATCTGATTAATTTGGATACGCGTTTTGCGTTCGTGGATAGTTTTTTCACTTCGTCTGACTCTGATTTATGATTTATCAGTGGTCTTTCAATAGCTTCATTCTCTTTTGTGATTAGTTTGCTGCTGCAATCAGGTTTCGTTTATTTTTTTTCTCTATTTTATTATATGACTCTTTCTATTTAAGTAAACATTTTATTTAACTCGATGTTGGACTAAATCTTCGATCATATTATTCATTGTTCGAGATTATTTTAATATAGTATTTGTTTAAAATATTTCTTGATTATTGATAATTTTAACCTAATTTTTTTAGGAGATCAATCCTCACTTTTTATTATTAGTATAATATTTTTAAATTTAATTCAATTAATAATATTATTAATACAGTATAAAAAGCTAAAAAATATGAGTAATTTATATATTATATAAAATATTTTTATTATTTAAATATTAATTTAAATCCTAACAAAATCATTGTAAATAATGACTTATTTCTTAAACTCTTGAATAGTTGTACCATACGATAATCTAATTTAAGATTAAAGAACAACAGAAAATAGGTATGACTGAAAATTATATAAAGTTTATATCAGTTTTAGTTGGATACAACTTAAAATATTAATTCTTTAACATATAAAACGTTATATTTTCGATTGTCAATTAAAAATATTATAAAAAAGATTTTCAATTGAAAAATATTATTATAATTATTATAATATTTTTAATAAATAATATTATGATTTTTATAATATTTTCAATGAAATTTTTTTCGATCTTAAATTCAATTGTCTCACTCTACCTATACCGGCATTTATTATTACTAAACCACCACTGAGATTCAACGAGTGAACTGTGGATTCGCTGTTTGGTTAGCCCACAGAAACTTTACCTGCTTAATAAATATTTGAGAAAATTCCCACGCTTTCTCTCTCAGATCTCTATCCTTGCCAGTGTTTTAGAGGGAGAAAAGGGGGTTAAAGTAAACTGAAAAGGAAGCGAAGTAGAGCAGAAAATGGGTGGTGATGAAAAGGTCTTCACTTTGGCTCAAGTCTCCGAGCATAACAGCCCCAAAGATTGCTGGCTCGTCATCAATGGCAAGGTACATTTTCCCCATTTTATTATGATGTGTTTGATTAAATGCCAAAGTGAAGGGTTTTTGCATGTTTTTGACTTGTCGGGTACTTTGATTTTCGAGTGATGATGAACCCATTTAGGAGTTTATTTTTCCCCCAATATGATTGAACTGGTTAGGGTGTTGGTTATCTCTTCTTATTCCTTTTGTTTTGGGAATTTAATCTCCTGATCGATGTGGGATTTGAGTTGTTTTACATTGCAATTGAACTTTGCTGTTCTGGTTTGATCCATTAGCCCGTGGTAGAATCTGATTTAACATGTTCTCAAGTTTCCGTGTCTACTGTCTACACCATATCATACACAAATTCGGACTTGGGTATAGGATTAAATCTGCTATATGTATTTAAAAACTAGGAAAAAGAATCGAACACGTCCGAATCAGGTGTGCTGTTGTTCTTAATTCGTATCCGACACTCATTCCCACTCCTGGGTGACATAGCTCATAAGCCATTCATGGCGTTATGCTGTTCTTAATTCGTACCCGACACTCATCCCTCTGTACATCGGATGACAGGACTTGAAAACTTATCGAAAAGAGAACGTATGGTTGTTGCTGCTGTCTCTTTTGAATCCGCTGTTACCATAGGTATAGGTATTGCGTTTTGTATGGGCTGGTTGTAAATAGCATCTAGAGCCAACTAAGAAGAGGGTGTCAAACTTTGAAAATATGGGTCTTATGATCATATCTTTAGCTGCAATTGCTTCTGGTATTATTGCTCGAGCTTTTCTAAGAAGTATATCGGACATCTAAAGGGATGATTCTGTTTTATTATTAAGAGAATGCATCTTAGATGCAGATGTCCTTGGGACTTTTAGTTACTTGATAATTGAGTTTGGGAGTTGCATCTTGTATGCTCGAACCTTCACGGAATTGTTCACATGATTAACCGAGGACTAAGTTATGAATGCACACTCAGATCATCGAAGCTCTATGACACTTGGCTTATATTCTTCCTTCTTTTTGAAGGTCACATGTCCGGGGTGTATGCAAACGTAATTGTGGTATGTAAGTCCATAAATATTTGTAAAATCTTAGACAAAGTTAGTATACTTGTATAGTCACTTACACTAGGTCCCTAAGTAATAACTTAAGGTTTGTGTCAGGGTAGATGGCTGATAAGAATTTTCGTAAAAGTAAATTGGAGCTTGAGTTTTTCTTGAAGTTAACTGATTAAAATGGGGAGGGCTTTTCTTTGGCAGGGCAATGTTGCTTTTGTCATATTTTGTTTGGTTTTGAAATGATATAGTTCGGAATAAGAAAACACGATTTCCTTCTCCGTGCCCTTGGCAGTTTTGACTATACAATTATGATTCTCTTTGAGGGCTTCGTTACACTGTCGAACCGAGAGCTCTTCTCTATATTTGCACGTATGTTGTAGAAAACAAACCCGATCTTCTTTTTCTTAAAAGAAAACAACACCCTTATATGCAGCAATCAAAGAAAATTCAATTAGGAAGCGGAAAAACTTCCTTACTAGTGTCTGTTGTGATAGTTCGCATGGAATGTTCTTGAAATTTTTGGGGAGCACAATATCTATTTTATTTGTATGAATTTTAGTGCCTATTAGTGTCTGTTTCGTACGTGAAACAGGTTTACGATGCGACAAACTTTTTGGAAGACCACCCTGGTGGTGATGAAGTGTTGTTATCGGCAACAGGTACAAAACTTCGAGTCTACTTTCTTCGAGTCAGATCAATATAGTATACTGCAAAGAAGTTGGCATGGTTTTAATGTGGGTACATTCACAGGGAAGGATGCAACTGATGATTTTGAGGATGTTGGGCATAGTGACAGCGCTCGAGACATGATGGCTCAATACTATGTTGGAGAGATCGATGTCTCAACTATCCCGAAGAAGATAAAGTATAAACCGGCAAACCAGCCACACTATAATCAGGACAAGACATCCGAGTTCATCATCAAGCTTCTTCAGTTCTTAGTCCCCCTTGCCATCTTGGGGTTAGCCGTCGGTGTTCACCTCTACACCAAATCATCTTAGTATAGATCTGTTCTGATAACCCATCAATACCCTGGTTTCATTTATGCCAATCTTCAAAGATTATAAAGACAAGATATGGAAGGATGACAATTTAATGTTTTCTGTTTGATAATGTTGTTTGATTATTCGACTTCGAAAGTTTTTCCCTCCCCTGTTTAAACTAAAAATTCTCCAAAAGGAAAAAGTGCCGAGTTTATGAAATCATCAATTACCAACCAGAAAAAGCTTTACCCCACCGGTACCTGAGATACCACCAGCAATGTTATACATGAGGTTCACTAGAAGCAGTTGATCATACTAATGACTTGATGAAACAATACTGTTTCCGATCATAGTGAAGCAGTTGATCAGGACTCAATGAAACAACATCGTTTCCGATCACAGCATCGGGCTGCATCATAATCGGACCAAAGCGGTAAGGATTATAAGGAAAAGAGAAGATAGGATGAAAGGGAACATGAAGGTTGCATCGTTACAAATATATACAAACAAGAGGTGGAAAATACAAAGAAATTCTGTACCAGATCGACTGACCTAATTGACTGACCCTAAAGTATCTAAACTTTAACCTACACCTTCATCCTCTTCCCTTCATAGTAACTCATTACCCTTGCTATGTTACAAATCACTAGTCGACACATTTTTTTAACAGTCCTACTTCTTTCTCTACAAGTAAAAATAAAGGTGATAGAAAAGGGAACTAACACCATCACCCTCACAAGTCACAACTGAGGTATTGGCAGGAAATATGATTCTAGGGATCCATTTTCTCCCATTGATACCGTCCTGGAAGTGGCTTATCCTTCGCAGGATCGAAGTTGTACCTGCAAGTAAAAGTTTCTGCTGAACGTTCATACAATCATAAAAGAGAGAAACAGGGTGAAACAAATATAGGATACTTCTCAATGAATTGCCTTTTCTGGTCTACTTCTGCAAGAGCAAAGAACTCGTCCATTTCATGCGATGCCGGGATGTTTCACCGCATTGAATTCCGTAATCTCCGATTAGTATCTGCTGAGTCGGCCAGCCTAGTAGTAGAACACGGTGTTCTTATGCTCTCTGGGTCCCTTATCAAGCTACAAGGAGTTGATTCCCTAGTGCCCCTGCACCAGAAACAATAGCTATTAGTTGGTGTAAAATAAAATCTACAGGTAAACACTCAATTCTCAGAAGCCAGTAAAAAGGTATTGACTGTTCATTTTTTTTTTCCAGCTTTATATCTCCCAGAACCACCCTACAGAGAAAAATGAACAACATTGCAAAGAGAACCAGACCATAATAATAATTTGATGAACCGTTTTCATTGTGTTTCAGATCCTCTTTCCACATTAACATGCTTCAATCACCAGTACTTTAGCAGAAAGGACATAAAAAAACACCTGGAGTTCATTCAATATGCACATTAAAATCACAAAAAGCTGTTCTACAATTATTTCCGCAAGGACAAATTGAACTGACAGTGTCCTTTTTGGAGGGTAAGGGGTCCAATTACAACCTATACGAATATGAAGAAAAAAAGCAACGCAAAGCAACTCGAACAATATCAAGCAAAGTGTAAAGTTCTAGTTATTATAATCTCCAAAAATCATATTGACATTCATTAGCTAAACCCTCGTCAGACTATCCTATGCTCAAAGCACGGAAATTCAAAACTTTCAAAACTTATATTTTAGTCACTAGTCAAAATTTAGGGTATTACAAAAAACAAACTTGCTTTCTGCAAATAACGAGTTTCATTGACAACCTAGCCCATCTAAAAAATGCACCTTAATCAAATTTGACAAAAATAATACCAAAAGGACAAAAGATGTAATTTAGTACATTTTAGCTCTATGACTTGAAAAGCATAATGGTGGTAGTTTATACAAACATGATGAAGTGTTTAGACTATGTTTGTTAGCAACATGAGATAAATGCTAACATTAGTTCTTCTACCTTTTTCTTATGTAATTTTTTTTACTTAACCCATTAAATTTTATTATTGAATTATATATGAACTAAAATTAAATACTTTGATAAATTTATTTTTATTAAGTAAAAATAAAAAACTAAAAATTACATGAGAAAAAAAGTAGAATAACCCATGTTAGTTTTTATCGCACATTGCTAACAAACATAGTCTAGACACTCCATTATGCCTATATAAACTAACACCATTATGCCTTTCAACTCATCGAGCTAAAGTGTATTAATTTACATCATTAGTCCCTACAATATTATTTTTTTCAAATTTAATTAAAGTGCATTTTTTAGATATGTTTTGCATGTGGGTTGTCAATGAAACTCGCTTTTTGTAGAAAGAGAGATTCTTTTAATCACGTTTTGTAAAACGCAAAGTAAACCTACGTGAATAGTTTAGAGATATTTTTTCAAAGAACGATCGACGGAATTATTTAGGGGTATTTTTTTCAAAGAATGACCGATGGGATTATTTTCCTAACTAATGAGCATTTGGGGTTTTCGTACTAATAACGCCATGATAGTTGGTGTGAAAAGCATTCATCTTTTTTGAGGACCACATCTTCATTAAAGCTACTTTCAGTTCCACCGTCGACAGTTATCACAAACGTCCAACGACTACCATAATTTTGAATATTTTTTAAATGAAAATATGATATATGTTTCAGTATTAGAAATATAGAGTAATAAATATAACACATTTAAATATGATCAATGTGACAAATTCAGTAATGGTTAATTTTTGTGGTCAATGTGATTAATTTTGTTAAATTTTACAGTGATTAATATTATTAATATAATTGTATTATAATGGTTAATGTGGTAAACTCTTATGATTAATAGTTTAATTCAATTATACTGTAAAAAGTAATTGTTATTGTAGTTATTTAAATATTATATTACTTGTGTCTATAATTGTTAGTCTTAATACTTTTAAAATTTAAAAATTAGTTTTTTAGCGATTAAATACTCCACCTACCAAATAGTATAGAAAGATGAAACACTAATCCTTAAGTATGATTTGAGATTTAAATCTTACAACATAAATTGGAAAAATCATTCTCATAATCAACTTTTGTGATATCGCATTCAAATTAATAAAGGGTAAATTACACATTTAGTACTTAAACTATAAATTTTTATTTGTTTTTAGTACCTAAACTTTTATTTTTTAAATCACACATAAACTATAATTTTTGTTTCATTTTAGTACCACACCGTTTAAAACTTTAGTTTTGTTTCATTTTAGCACACCGTTCAAATTTTAACGTTAAGTTTTGAAAAAATTGAAAGTTCAAAAATTAAGACAGACCAAAATTGATAGTTTAAATACTAAACGTGTTAAGTTTTCAATGGATGATACTAAAATGATACGAAAACTAAACGTTTGTTATGATTTTGAAAAAATTAAAAGTTTAAGTGTTAAAACGGATCAAAACTGATAGTTTAAGTATTAAATGCATAGTTTACCTATTAATAAATCAAATGGGATGATTATACTGGAAAAAATTTATAATCCAAGATTTTGTCAATATTTAACCTAAAAATAAAGAAACCTAACCCAAACCCGACCCAACCCATGCTCATCCCTAAACACCACCCACCTCCACTGTAACCGTCGGCCACCACCAACTTTTCAATCCGACATCATAATACCGTCAGATATTCAAAATATTCTCATTCAAATCCACTTCAGATCCTTTATGAATGATAAAGCTTACTAACCGAATCAGAAACTAAATCGAATCTTTAACATTTAGAATCCGCAAGCAACATTCGAGTGTTAAAACCCCATGGAGCAGAAAAAACGACGGCGTATGAGACGAGTAGTACGTACCTGTAAATATTGACAACTCTCCCAAAGAAACAAGTGCATAGTTTAAGAAATGATCCAAAGTTCCTTTCTGATACACGTTACCAACAAGAAAAATAGCTTACCAGTTACCCCACCAGTACCTGAAATGTCACCATCCATCTTTATACATGAGAAGTTTAATGGAGGAAGCAGTCGGTCATGAAAACGAAACAATATTGTTTCTGATCATGGTGACAGGCTCCGTCGACATCATCATAAAGAATGCAAAATTTAGCAGTGAAGATCGTAGGGAAAGACAGATGATAGGAGGAAATGGATCATGTTTCGTCCAAAGAGTGTCTTAAAGTTCCATCATTACAAGTATAGACAAACAAGGGGAGGAAAAACCAAAAGAAATTCTGTACTGGATCAACTGACCTAATTGACTGACCCTAATGTTTCCAAACTCTAACCTACAGCTTCATTCCCTTCACTTGTAGGATGATCTGTTAGACAAAGGACTTGGATTCAGTTTTCTTTTCTAACTGGTTACCATTATGTTACAGACCATTAGTCCGGATACATTCTTTTAACAGTTAAGGGTGATGGAAAATGGAAATAAAACCATCACCTTTACAACTAAGGCCAATTCCTAGTAGCCAAAACTATCTAAATTTAAGATCAACTGAGCATTTAACAGGAAATATAAGTGCTGATGGAACACTAATGCTGCCTAGGGGTCCACTTTCTCCCATTGATAACGTCCTGGAAGTGGCTTGTCTTTCACTGGATCAAAGTTGTACCTGCAAATAATCCCACATCTTTTATCAGATCATAAACCACAAATACACTAAAGTGTTTCTGCAAAAGTTTAAGACAGTCATAAAAGTGAGAAACAGGGTGAAGGAAATATAGTATATACTTCTCAATGAATTGCCTTTGCTGGTCTACTTCTGCAAGAGAAAAGAACTCATCCATTTCATTTGATGTCGGGATTTGTGGCCTCGTTAAATTCTGTACTCTTTGGTTAGTCTCTGCTGAGCTGGCCGGCCTAGTACTTGAACCTGGGGTTCTTATGCTCTCTGGGTCCCTTATCAAGCTGCATGGAGTAGACTCCCTAGTGCCTCTGCACAAAAACAATAGTTATTAGTTAATGAAAAGTGAAAGAATCTAAACGTAAACACTCGATTCCAGGAAGCCCGTAAAAAGCATTAACTATTCCATTTTAGGCTTTACAATCCCCACTCCTAGAAAAAGAAACAACTTTGCATGTAGAACCAGATAATACCAATCATTTGAAGAACAAAGCTGACAATGTATAAACATAAGGGTTCGTCGATGTACAATAAAAAGAAAGAGACTCTTTTTA